CTGAAGACTTTTTGAACGATACCAACACTTGGGAGAAATGATATTGAGAACATTTAATTACCAGACACCCATTTATGCTTAACTAGTATGTGTCCCACGTATATCCTCACCCTCAGTTGAAAAACCCTTGTTTTAATTCTCAATGTATACGAATAGTTCTCTTTAGCTTTAAAAAAAAGAATAATAATAATAATGACATGGTTACCTCTAGATCTTTCAGGAATGAAGCAGCCAGTTGGTATTAACAAGGCCATTGACCATGCCCCTCCTTTGCTCCTTCCCGTCATCTGGACATTGGATTGTCTTACCCTGATCCAACCTGTGCATTCACCTGCTGTTTGTACCAGAAGTTCTGGCAAATAGTGCTCAGGGGAAGGAGCTAGTAGAAGCTAAAGCTATTGGTGCAAATGAAGCTTTGGATTACCTGTGGACTTTGGGCATTTCTCCCATTCCTGACCCCCTCGATAAGCGCAGATCATTCGGTGCATGAGTAGCCATGAGTGATTGACACAGACAAGTCAACTTTTCATGACACGGGCCGTGAGCAGCTCACCACGGTTCCCATTTCTGCTGATGCCTTTGGTCTCGAGCCCCGCGGGCTTGCAGGCCACTCCCAGGGGGGCTGTCCCTGTCACCGTGGTGGGGGGGGCAAGAGGCAGTGACCACGGACACCTGGCTATGGCTTGCAGCAGAGTTATGCAACTAACTGCACACGTAAAAACGGCAGAGAAAGAGCAAGAGCTAAAAGGACTCCGGTTTGGGCCCACATGACAAGTCAATGCACTTCATGAATGAAAGCAAACGCCTTAGAATGCGGCTCACGTTATTTACAACGCTCGGAGTTTTCAAACGTCCCACCCAAAAGCTGAGGACCACCAGGCAACAGGGAACAACAGTTCAATGAACTATGTACAGAATTTACAAGGAAGTTTACATAATATTCTACACTCCGTTGACAGATTTACCTTTACGTTTACCGCTTGCTTTTAGGAAACAGGTAACGTTTGCTTTTCTGTCCTCCTTATCCCACAGTTAAACGCTGATTGAACCAACAACGTAAGCGAATGCTCGAACATTCCTTTTCCCTCCCTCCTGGGCTATATATATCATTATATTTCGTTTAAGAAAAAAAAAAAAAAACAAGACAAAACTGGTGACATATCACCCTTTGGTAAGATACTGTTCGAAATTGTCCACGTAAGAAATCTTGGAGATCATTTCCTTCTAGAAGCGTTATAAATATATCTTTTTGTTTGTTTGTTTAACTTGCCAAATCGTAATTGAGCTCTTTTCTTAAATGACTATTTATAAAATAGTCATTGATTTCAGAAAGACGGAATTTAGTCAACATTTCTATGTATTTTGCATTATTATTATTATTATTTTTTTTTTTAAGGAAAGCCTATCCTTGGACCCTTCAAGCAAAGTTTATTCTCTGCGCCACATTTTGCTCTTTGCATTTTCAAGATCCTTCACTGAATATAGTGCACAAGGAAGGTGGCATGCATGAAAACACGTATCGCTCACTCAGCGGGACTGCCAACCTGGTCTGCTTGTTTCTATTTGGCAAGGTAGAAGACGGAGGCCATAATCCTGGGCAAGTCAAGCCAAAAATACGCCTTCACTTGTTCCTTTGCCTCCTCCCAGCGCTGGTGAGTGTGATGCACCTGTCGTCCCTGATGTCGAAAGCCAAGGGACGTGACTGGAAGGAATGAGCGTGTCCCCATCCCCGTTAAAGTGGACGATGGAATTTCTGCCCGGGTCTACACAGGTTAGGTGTATGACACGGTTTACGCTGCGGTGTATGAACCGTGAACACGGGGGGTGTTCCCTGGACAGGATGGTGGCATTAGAGAGACAGTCCACGCAACTTTCGGCCTCTGCTACCACGTAAGTAGATAGAGTAGGGGATTTATGGCTATTTTCACGGTGGAAAGAAAACGATCCAATAGTGGTGGAAGAGGAACCCCTCTCTAGTGTGACCATCTGAATCTTTCACGAATGGGGACCGGTTTCGAGAGCACTTAAGATTGTCTAACAACTTTTATGGTTTATAAGCACGGTTTTGGGGGTAAGACAAGGGAGACAAGCTAGGGAAGGAAGGATTGGTTTTTTTTTCCTCCCATGTACTCTTCAGCCTGGAAGGGGAGGAGGATCTGGCCAGGAGCTTGGGGTGGGGGGCCAAGGAGAGAAGGATTTGGCCAGAAGGTGTTTAGAAGGAAGCCGGGACAGAGGCCATTAGCCAGAAATATGGCGGCTTCTCCATTCTTCTGGCTGCCATTGTCTCTATCATCACAGCTAATTAACAGAATCTGCATGATTGTGTCAGTGGCCACTCTACTTCCCAGGAGGGAATATGGCAAAACCATGACATGCCTGATGGGTAGATTCCAGATTCATAATTGTACATTTTACAAAGGTTAAGATATGAGTTCAAAATCTTTTCTTTTCCCCCCTCAGAAGATGCTCGAGGTCTAGAACTATAGCATCAAAATCTCTACGTTTTTAAAGGCAAGATAAAAAATAATAATAAAAATACAAATTTGCTCTTTTTTTTTTTTTCCAAGAAGAATGATCTAAACAGATAAATGAAGAGACGCTGTTTTCTTAAGGAGCATAGATTACAGACGTTTCTGATTTGTCATTTCGTCTTTAAAAGCTTTTGTTTTGAAAATGCTTTGGCGTCAGAATGATTCCTTTCTGCTGGGCATCAGCCCCGAATTTCCCTTCCTGGGTTTAAAATAAATGGCGGTATAGTGGTTCCTGGGTGGTCACTGGGAATGTTAACCTTATTATAATCACTGATGGAGTCACATTCCACTCCCTTTGGGCATTTTACGATAATAGCACAGCATCTCACCCTGCCAAGGGGCTGAACAGAGTCCAAACGGATGACTTCATGCCCAACGGCCGGGGATTTCCTTGACCAAGGAAGTGTGAGATAATACAACGGAAAACCTAAATGAAAATTTGATCCCTATGAGCCTACTGATTTCTCCTGAAACCATTGAGATCATTTTTCCAGTTAAAGCAGGGTGTCTTATAGTGTCTGACTAGTGTCTTATCTTGCCATAACTTCATTTCTTTTGAAGTCCCCTTTTCCTCTTGCTTTCTAACAGAATATCTCATCACTCCCTCTCCTCTTGGGTGCCTCAGTAAGAATTCAGCCTTATCTTTCCAGTTACGACTGTAATTTCCAGCAGCTGATACTGCTGTGATCCTGGATCCTGTCATCCCAGCCTTAGGGAGCAAGACAGATCCTGAAAAGGAGCCAACATTCCCATTATTACATCCCAACTCTTACGTTGGACCTATGGATCAGTTTCCAAACTGCTTTCATCCCTGGTTGGTCAACTTAACGGTTTTATTCAACTTTGCAAATAAACACATGGAATTCCTAGATACTCAGGCCGAGGAAGAAATAATAAGCGTTCAACGACATACTATGGGGAGACTCTTCAACTGTAGCTGGTTGGACATGTTTAGAATCGCGTTGATTGCTCAGGGATGTCCCTTCTGTGCAAACTCTGACCAAGAGCAATCTATGAGCAGCTGTGACAGCAGTTATTGAGTATATCGACCCTATAAATTATAGGGTCTATTCTTTAGGGGCCGGCATGTGTATTTGAAGGACCAGGACTTTTGTCATTGTTGTTGTTTTTATCTGTGGGTTTTTGTTTTGTTTTTTTTTTGAGACAGAGTCTCACTCTGTTGCCCAGGCTAGAGTGAGTGCCGTGGCGTCAGCCTAGCTCACAGCAACCTCAAACTCCTGGCTTCAAGCGATCCTCCTGCCTCAGCCTCCCGAGTAGCTGGGACTACAGGCATGTGCCACCATGCCCGGCTCTTTTTTTTTTTTTTTTCTATATATTTTTAGTTGGCCAATTAATTTCTTTCTATTTTTAGTGGAGATGGGGTCTCGCTCTCGCTCAGGCTGGTCTCAAACTCCTGACCTTGAGAGCGATCCTCCCGCCTCGGCCTCCCAGAGTGCCAGGATTACAGGCGTGAGCCACCACGCCCCGCCTATCTGTGGCTTTGCGATTTTCAAGGTTTTCTTTAAAATCTGGAGCGGAATGATATCAACATGGGGGGTTGTGTCTTCCCTGGAGCTTTCATTCCGGTCTGGAACCCAGAGCTCAAAAGGAAGAGCCATAAAGGGCTTAGCTGAGGCCAGTGTGACCAACCTGTCACTGTTAGACACTGCTCTCTGGAAGGCAAAGAAGTATATACTATTTGATTTAAGATTTGGCAGTACAGACAACTGCCCCGGCACCTTTTCCACGGCACATAAATCTTGCCTCCCTCTTGCAAAGGGCAATATTTTTCCCAAGCAAAAATTGCTCACGGTTCCCTTCCTTGCAGCTCTCACCACCTCCACCCCATCCCCACCTCTGTCTCAGGTCCTCTGGAGCAGGAACTACGCACATGAGACGGTGGCATGGCTTCGTGGCACGGTGGCGTTGAGGGGTCCCAGGCTAATAACGAAAGGAATTCAGGGCTGCTCCTTTGAAACGGCCAGTTAGAAAAAAACGACCATTGCCCTCCCAAACTCCTTATTCTCAAGGGACAGAGAAAAATGTTCTCAATGGCTACCAGGTTCACCCGGGTTCTGGATTCTAATGTTAATGGAGAATTTGCTGGAAAGTCTGAGAAAGAAGCATTTTTTTTTTTTTTCCAGAATATCCAGCATAACGTGCAAGTGAGGATGGCGGGTGGGTTTACACCCCCTCGCCCTGTTCTCGCCCATCCTTCCTTCCTCTTCCTCGGAGCTGAGGGGCCCTTCTGCAGGGGCTGGGGGTGGGTGCGTGGTGGGGGGGGGACTTAAGGATGGAGGAAGAGTCTTCCTTCCTTTTCTAGGCTCCTTTTTGTTTTCCTTCCTGGAAATCTGTAACTCGTCAATGGCTTTTTTGTTTTTTGTTGTTTTTTTTTTTTCTTCTGAGATCCTGGAAATTGTGGCGTTGTTTATTTATTTATTTTTGGCAGCATGAAATCGTTACAGTTTCCCAGGAAGCAGTGCAAGAAGGACAGCGAGATCCTCTTTTCATTTTTTTTTTTTGTTTGTTTAAAAAAATAAATCGGTACAATATCCAGGGCAAACTAGGAAAGACAGCTAAAGACCTACCTAGGTAACTGCTCTGTGTGTGTGTGTGTGTGTGTGTGTGTGTGTGTGCGTGTGTTTGTAAACATGGCAATTCACAGAGCTCTTAGAAAGAGCTGATAACCTGGACCACAGTAGACTGGAGAAAAAAAAAATAGCTTTTTTTTTTTTTGGAAGTAAACATGGTGCAGTAATCAAATGGATACATTGATATATGCAAGACCTAAAAGCAACCTGATGGCTGAACCTCTTACCTCCAAAGACACTCAGCAGTGTCGCTGGTTGGGGACCCTGTAGGACTTAAAAAAAAAAAAAAACCAACACACAAAAAAAAACCAGAGAGAAAAGAGGAAGGTGGTCTACACAAACCCATCAGCACAGACCTCAGTGGACATAGTACAGCCAGTACACGACGTTGAAAAGAGAGAAGGTGATGGGGAAGAACATCCGGGACCACTTGTCTATGGAGTTCACGTCCGTCAGGTCCGGGATCTTGACCTTGAGCTGGGACGCGCGCCGGCGGATGCGCCCCTTGCCCGGCGCCCCGGGCCGGTCCCGCGCGCGCGCCAGGGCCTCGCGGCTGCCGGGCGGCCGGCGGTACTGGATGCTGGCGCTGTCGTACGCGTACATGGTGGCCTTGGCGTCGCCGCCCGCCAGCGCCTCCGAGCCGCCCGGGGTCTCGTTCCTCATCTCCAGCGTGCTGAGCAGGATGTTGCCGTGGGCGTCCACCTGGCGGCAGGGAGGGGACACAGGCTCAGGCACCTGCTGCTGGCTTTGATGCACCTACCTGCTGCTTGCTGCTTCATGCACCTGCCTCGCTGCTTGCCTTGATGGCACGCTGCCTGCTGCCTTGCCTTTGATGCACCTGCCTGCCTGCTTGCTTTGATGCACCGTGCTGCTTGCTTCTCCATCACACCTCGCTGCTCGCCTTGCTTGATGCACCTTGCTGCTCGCTTTGATCGCACCGTTGCTTCATGCACACTGCTGCCTGCTTTGCGATGCGCACCCTGCTGCTTCTTCCATGCACCTGCCTGCTCTGCTTGCATCACCTCTGCTTCCTTTCATGCACCTCTCTCTCCTTTCATGCACCTACCTGCTGCTTGCTTTGTCAGCCCTAGCCTGCTGCTTTGCTTTTCATGCAGCCTGCTGCTTCCCTTTCACGCACCTACCCCTGCCTGCTGCTTTGATGCCACCTGCCTGCTTGCTTTGATGCACCTACTGCCGCCTGCTTTCATGCTTTGCTGCTTGCTTTGATGCACCTACCTGCGCTTGCCCTTTGAATGCACCTGCTGCCTTGCTTTCATGCCACCTATCTGCTGTGTGCGTTGATGCCAAGCTGCTGCTTGCTTGATGCCACCTATTGCTGCGCTTCGCTTTGATGCACGCTGCTGCTTGCTTTGATTGCCACCTATTTGCGCTTCTTTGATGCACCTTTGCTGCCTGCTTTGATGCACCTTGCTGCTTGCATTTCGATGCACCTGCTGCTTGTTCATGCACGTTGCTGGCGTCACACAGCCGCCCCCTGCAGGTGGGGCTCATGAGCTCTTGTGGGCCCTAGCCAGGCATCTCAACTACAGCCTGTGGGTTCCTTGTAGGTGTTGTCCCGTTTGTTGTTGTTTGTTTTTTACTTCAAAATAAGATATGTGCAGTGTGCATAGGAATTTGTTCATAGTTTTTTTTTAAACTATAGTCCGGCCCTCCAACGGTCTGAGGGACAATGAACTGGCCCCCTGTTTAAAAAGTTTGAGGTTTGAGGACCCCTAGACAGAGGCTCTACCTGCCTCCCAGACAGGGAGATGAGCTAGCTCGCTGTCGTCCCTCTACCTGCCTTGCTAGCTTCCTACCTACCTACCGTGTTTCCCCGAAAATAAGACCTACCCATAAAATAAGCCCTAGCAAAATGTCTAAGCATGTGTGCAATAGAAGCCCTTTCCCGAAAATAAGCCCTGGTGATGGGCATGGCTATGAAAATCAGCCCTAGTGATGGGCGTGGCTATGAAAATCAGTGCTAGTGATGGGCGTGGCTGTGAAAAATCAGTGCTAGTGATGGGCGTGGCTATGAAAATCAGCCCTAGTGATGGGCGTGGCTATGAAAATCAGCCCTAGTGGTGGGTGTGGCTGCGCAGCGCATCTGCACAACCCATGCGTGTCCTGGCGGAGCGGGAAAGAACACGAGCAGCCCTTCTCATCCGCCACGTGAGAGCTCTAGTGCTCCACAGGAGAGATCGGGGCCAGTGGTTCTAAAGGAAATAGAGTCGCAAGACATTCAGGATGGGATTCGGGGTCTGGAGAGTGAGGATGATGTTCCAGAAGAAGACGACTTCACTCTATTTGAATCAATGTAGATGGTTGTACCGTACTTAAAAATAAAAAATAACACATGCCCTGAAAATAAGCCCTAGGGTGTCTTCTTGAGGAAAAATAAATAGAAGGCCCTGTCTTATTTTCAGGGAAACATGGTAGTTACTATCTGTCTCCACTTACAAAACACTGGTGTGTGCATGTGTGTGGCATTTCTTCCTGTTACAAAATTGGTACACAGAAACATTTAAAGCTAGACACAAAAAATAAAAAAGTAAAAATTCAGAATCTCACCTTCAGAGTCAATCATTAACATCTTGCTAGGCTTCCAGTTTTTGTTTTTTTTTTCTTTCCTGTTCATATATATTTATAAACACAGGTTCATCCATGGATTTTACTTTGCAACCTATTTTTGTCAGTTCATAATATAGCCTGTGTATCTTTCCATGTTAATAAGTATTCCTCTGTGACATCATTTATTAGTAGTTTACACAAGTAAACCATTGAAAACTAAGAGAGTAGGGGAAGGGTGAGGGATATAGTCCTATCTGTCACGTACAATTGACACCACTCTGGTGACAGGTACACTGAAAGTCCTGGCTTCAGCAGGATACAATTCATCTGTGTAACAAAAATACAGACAACAAACCTTTAAAAAAAAAAAAACAAACTGTGACCAGGTAAGCACTGAAAAGCTCCTGCTCAGCAGGATACAATTCATCTGTGTCACCGAATCTTAAATATATACATCTTTGAGCGCAGGGCAGAGTGAATGGTTGCATGAAAAGAGGTAGGGGATGGAGGAGAGGGTTTCTCCCCGCTTTCAAGATGCAGCTGGAGGGGACCGGCTGCTGAAGGTCGACCATGCCTGGGCTCCATCCCACCAGACCCTCCCCTGTGGCCTTCCTGCAGACCTTTTTTGTCTTATTTTCTATTTTTTTAGACATCATCGCATCCTCCACTCTGTTGCCTTCCATTCACGGTGCATAGAGTGTGAGTGTCAGTTCATCCATGCCGCACTACATCTCATTCAAGTCATCAACCCAAGCATACCCTCAGCAACTCCTGGCTCAAGCCCCATCACACGCATGCAACCAACCGCTGTGGGCCCTAAGTACTGCGCCGTCCACAGTCGAGCGCCCCCTTGTCCCTGCCCCAGGGCCTTCTTCCGGGTCTCGCAGGGGATGGGGCCCCAGGGACGTGATCCAGGGGTTCACACAGCCTGGGACTACAGGCATCGCACCGACCATGCCCGGCTAATTTTTTACATATAATTGTTTAGGTTGGCCACTTAGATTTCTTTCTAATTTTTAGTATAGATGGGGGAGTCTTCGCTCTTGCTCAGGCTGCGTCCCTCGAACTTCTGACCTTGAGCCGATCCCCGTCACGCCTCCCCAGAGTGCCTAGATTACGCAGGCCGTGACAGGCCCACCGACCGGCCCTCGTATTTCTTGATATGGGCATGAGGTTGCAGCATTGGGTACTGAAATCCTTGCCGGTCAGATTGGGCGCCTGGGTGTCCCTTCAAGACTTACGCAATGACTTTGTGAGTCGAATCTCTACAACAACAACAGATCCCCCATGCTCTCCATTTTCATGCCATTTCATTATTTGCAATGAAGGCATTCGTGGCTGTATATCCAACTAAGAGAGTTCTAGACGGGTGTAAAATGGCCCGGGGAAGCCTTACCTAACCAGTCTACGTCTGTGCTTGAAAATCTATCTTTCAAAACTCTAAAGTGCCAATCTCTAGTTTCGAATGGTGCCTGAGGGTTTATGAATCTGCAGTCTTTATCACCTTGGAGCTTGAAACTCTCCAGATAAGTGTCGGGATCATACATCTGTGCTCACAGCGACAACGAGGCTTTCCGAGCACCTGTTGGCAATAAATCAAGACAAAGCAAGCTCCCTGAAACTTTTAAGTACAGCTAAAACCCTCGTTTGACCCGACCGGGCCCACCAGAGCTAGCAAAAAGGAACGTGTAATAACTGAACAATTGCTCTACTCCTGCTCCATGAACCAAGGCAGACACCGAGGAATCCCCAAATGAAAAATCCGTCTGGCACCAGAGCACGAATGTCATTTAACATTTAACTGTTTACAGAGCATCTAGAAGCTACAGTGGAGGCCGGGCGTCACGGTGGCTCATGTCCTGTGAATCCTACGCTCTCTGGGAGGCCACGAGGCGGGAGGATCGTCTCCAAGTCAGCCGAAGTGTGAGATCAGCCCTGGGCAAGAGCGAGACCCCCCCCGGTCGCTCTACTAAAAACTAGAAAAGGAAATTAGCTGACAACTAAAAATCCC